ACATAATGAAGCTTGTAAGAAAGTCAACCATCCACTTATGTAGCTTTCCAGTCACACGCACTTCATGCGGTTTCGATATCAGTCGTCTGTGGGATACAACGCCAAAGACTTTGCAGCAGTCAATGCAGATCCCATCGACCGACGAACCCATTTTCGTTGAATTCTTCCAGCTTTCCGTGAGTGTTAACAGTTTAATGATACAGGATCAACCATTTCTAAATCAATTTTAATGCGCCTTCTTCAAATCATTTTCCTCAATATGCCTCATCAGTTCCGTTTTGATTATTTTCGCCAGTAGTTAGGAATGAAGTCATGCGAGACTCAGTGGTCTAAAGCTATTTGGTGAGGTTCTATCTCCTCCTTTATAGTGAGAATTATTGCGGATAGGTTCCAGTCGGTAGGCAGAACCCCTCCACCATCGAAATTTCTAAAAGCTTGGAGAGCGAGGAAGCCAGTTGGGCTGGGAGCTCATTTAGAATTTTCGCTGAGATGCCACCCAGACCAGGTGATTTAGTGGGCTGTAGCTGTCTCAGAAATTTTCTTACTGTGTATGTTGCTAACGACACTATTCGACTGGTATCTCTTGGTGTGGCAATATATTGATATACTTCCTCGTCAAAAGGCAGAAATTCAGTATACATGGACTCAAATAAATTAAATAAGCGGTTCGTATTATCTGAGTTATCGGTTAAGTTGTTTCCTTGGTCAACCTTCAGATTAGAAATAGAGTCCCAATCGCGTTTTGCCTTATTCATGTACGAAGAGAGTATTTTTTAGTTGTTTCACATTCCATTAACTAGGTAGGACTCAAAGACTGATCGTTCTTTCCACAGAAATTTTCGACATGGATTTCGCTGTTTCTTAAAAATGGAGAACTAACCAGGTTGTTGATATATTGTATACGTTTTCCACAGTCTTCCTCTCTTTTTGATGTCCCCCATTCTGGTCGGGAGGTGAACTAGCAATTTTTAAGCGGGCAAAAGTTCCTAACCAAGCGCTGAGTCAAGTTAATAAAGATGCACCAGATGGCGTTTGGGTCAGGCACATTTGAAGGATTCCAGTCGACGTTGATTAGTAGTCCTTTCATTTTGGTATAATCCCCTTTCTATACATTGCTCTCGTTTACTGCTCGAATTACGGGTGCAGAAAAGTGGCTATGTTCCAAAACAAGAAAGCAAGAAGTGTGTTTGCTACAGCAGATTTGTTTTATCACAATGATGAGTTCATCGTCCGTGTCTGTCCGTCCTCCTGGGGTTCCATATACCAGGGCAATATTGAGGTCCGGTTAGTGCAGTTGTCGCAATTGACAACTAAGTATTTCGCAGAAAGTGTTACTGTTAGGCAGCGACCTATCCGGACTGTAGCGAATGCCATCTTGTCGGCGTTCGGAGTCGTTACTGACTGTCATTCCGTGTTGGATGTTGACGTGATATTTTCTCGGCATTAGGGCTCGCTATGCAATCTCAAGAATTTGGGAGAAAATACTGCGCGTAAGCAAAATTTATATGCAGTTCCTCTAACGAATTTTTTGGATAAATCGATATTCTTTAAGAAAATTTGATTTTAAAGGAACATTCATATGCTTGAACTGCATCCAAAACGTTGTTCACAGTGACAGTAGCAGGAAAATCACAAAATTCTAAAGTCCGCATCACGAGATAAGCATGGCTGATCTCTTTATGAGTCGTTATTGGAACCAAAACCAGGAACGGGTGACAGTTACATTTGTGGTCCACTACTGCTTATTTTTTGTTTAACTTCTTGCTACTTACTTACTTACTCTACTTACTTCGCAGCAGTAGGCATGCTTTGTTTTACCCAATTAGCATCGACTGTTCCCCGAGTGTGACGCAGTCATTTTTTGTTTATTTTATTTTTAGTTATTTTAATTTTGCTTCATTTTTTCCTTTTTTGGCGACATAAATGAATTGTATATTTAAGGTCCAAGGGGCCCTTTCTTGCAGTTGCCTTTTGGCTTAGAAGCTATTGCGAGTTTAAAAATGGGGAAAAAGCCAACC